GTGTGTGTGTGGGGGGGGGGGTCACCGCCAACTGTTTCAATCGCCAATAAGGATGGGACTGAAATTCGAGATCTTGTCAAAATTGTTTCTATTTTAAGCCTATAATCCACCAAAATCTGCTCCAGCTTCGGCTTTTATTCCCTCGAGCCGAAGTGCGCATTGATGGTGCGGCAATGAGTGGCAAAATGTACAGTTGCTCAACTCAGGCGTCACGACTTTTGCAAAGAGAGCGTCCGCTGCAGGCACAAGAAACGTGGAACGGTGGTCCTTGTTCGTTATGCCTTCTGTGGACGGCAAAATGGTCAGTCGCTGTTGCGCAAGGAAGCGCTTATCAGGGCTTTTGTAGAAAGAGACAACGATCTCCATAAGATTAAGCATGGGGTGATACGGCCTCAGCTTCAGTATCTCCGCATCCATGAATTCGTTCTCGTCGAGCACATCTGTCACCTGTTGGTGACAGAGCGCATTGACAAGGACAATCACACGCTCGTCAGGCGGAGCAGACGAGTGGATGTGGTGTAAAAAGCGCCATATAAACTCGCTCGCCAGTTCTGAGATGAAGGAGCCAAAGTGCGACTCTTGATACGCTAGATCTGTAATTAAAAAATGACAGCAACAACGTGCATACTCTTGCTCTTACTATCCACATCCGCTTGCACCGCCCGAAGACCGCGTGCACTCCATCCATGACCTCAAGAGCACGACAAGTTAAAGTGGGATTCGTCTAAATATAACACCTTTTTGTTGTTGTCCAGATCTGCGTAAATTTGACCACTACGTCGTAGCGTGTTTTGCTTGTTGACGGCGCTGTTGGGATTGACGACACGCGATGCAGCTTCTTGATGGTGAAGCAGCGACGACAAAAGAACTCGCCGCGTGGTTTCACGGCTGACCACTTTCCGCACTTCTGCTCGAAAACTATTTGGACTCGAAAATATGAATGTGATCGGGCTCGAAACTATGAATGTGATCGAGCAGAAAGCTAAAAGCGTACTCAGCATTTGTGTGATGCTAACAACCAGCGTAGAATGACTATCGCTCCTAAGAAAGATTTTTATAAAAGAGGTTATTTATTTGGTATGTGCTAAAATTTATTAAAATTACAACCCACTCATGCTTACTGTAGAACATTTGTGCATGCGGACGCACAAGATTGCATACAAATGAAAAACCTTATGCTTTGAAGCTTACCTTTTCTCTACTCCTATGCATAATGCAAATCTTACTGCAGATCCACTACTGCTGATCATCTGTCTCGTTAATGAACTGGTTGATGACATCGTCAGATTCGTTGACGGTAGTTGCAGTCGCTCCAACGCTTCAACGAGTTAGTTTTCGTGCTCAGTTGCCGGACTTACCGCAAGCTGGCGTTTAAAGCCGCTTTGAATCACCGAAGCGCCGAGATCGTTCCACGCTGCCGTAGCCCAGTAGATAGCATCGTTTCTAGAGGGAGGATTAAGCTGAAATTTGCCGCCTGAATTTCCTTGACGGAATTGTTGTAGCTGCTCCGACACGTGCTGAACCCAGCGCTTTCGAAGGCGTTCTT